CCCTATCGACTGCCTCAGTCCAGCGTTCTAAACAGTAGAGAACATTCATGAAGAAGGACCTACTGCTACGGAAACTGTGCTGAACATCGGAAAGCAGCCGGTTATATTAGAGGAACTGCATTAGTTACTGCTTAATTATTTTTGCATGATTTTTGAGCAAATTGCAGTAGACATAACAGTTAATCGATGTTATCCTGCGATTTCGTGAGAACGAGGTACAGACTGTTGGGCTTAGCGCACCCTTATTGGAAACATGCATAAAATGCACCGTTTGTGACCCTTCAAAATATAAGCATAACATAAGTTTTTTTTGGTGTATAATATTTGTAAGTTAAAATCTGGTAAGAAAACTAGTACAAGTCGATGACTAACCCGATTCCTCGCCCGCGAGCGTACTGGCTTCTAAATATTGGGATATGTTTCTTTTAGATTTGTTGGAAATGTTGGATAATAATGAACTCTAAGTTGTTTGAATAACAAAGACTGACATTGAATCTTAGAAAAGGTGTTCGACGATATATTCAGACTGGATGATTTATTAAACAGCATCAATCGCCAAAAAGTTAATGTCATTTGTAACTCGTAATCTATCTTGTGCAGTTATAAGTGTTCTCAAAAGTTATTTTACGTACTGCTTCTTTCGCTGCAGTTGATATTAGGGTTTCCTTATGCACACGTAACTATTGCCGTAAAATACATCTTAAGCAACACACGAGAAAATTTTGTAAGTAAAGGAAATGTAAATGAACTTGTGAACATACTTCACGCAAATTATTTTGCTTTCTGTCTAGACGTGTGATCTTCTAACGAAGGCCAAGACACGTGTTAAATTAAATGGGCTACTAATTGTGAATCACTAGTCATAACTGCCTTGTAGAATGACTTACCATTTGATTCGTTTTGCTGGTTTTATGAGCTAAAGAGAATGTATGAAGAGTTATGCTTAAAAAACTATTAATTTTGAGTTGAATAATGATCACAAAAAATTAGTAAGATCTAGATGCACGTAAACGGTGTCTCTTGTTTTTATTCGTTATATATTCCGCGTTGTTTCAAAAGGTCGTGCACCGCAGATGTTTAGTGTGGATAGACTGCGATGGGTACGCTTGGCATTCCGTTGGCTTCACGTGTGAGCCCGCCCGATTACAACAGAATAAAAGCCAAAAATTTGGACTTTAAATTGCAGAATTTTTGCCCGTCTCAGATAAGAAGGTGAGAAATTTTTCCTGCTTAAGAAATTTGTAGGACGAAAGCCCTTGCCTCGACTGGGTATAACGGATTGTTCGAAGCATCCAACTGGCTTCTGCTCCACTCACAAGATCCGTGTATTGATGAACAGATTGCGCGTGAATTTTGCCTATTTCTCTGTCCCCACTCAATTTTGCACTCCAAAGTGCACGAGTTTTGGTGTGATAGTCTGGCACACGAATGTTGGAACCACGCCCACGAGTATCCTCCCCATATAACACTCATTTCTGGCCTGCGAGTACTTATTCATTTTGTTATAATTTCTTCAGGTTCCAGATGATAAGGTCATTGACGCACATGTCGCTTTTGATAATGTTGTCGCTTCAATGGGAGATATTTTCCCACTTCATAGCATCCCGTTAAAGTTGCATATCTCCGCTGACTTCATTGGATATATTGTTTCAAGCGACAAAGTGAATTCTCTGCTGAATGAGCTGTGCGAAAGATTTATTGCTCAACTTTCTGCAAGTAATGAGCATTAATCTCCGTTATTGTTTGCTTGATTTTTATGTGCTTTAATATTGACACTAACTTTTTCGAAGTATCTACATTCCACCCCAGTCGCCTAATGTTTCTCTTCACTTGCAGCAATAATCTAAATGTAGCTGCATTAGTTGTGTCAGCTAGTGCTGAAATTTTCGTTTTCCTCTATCTGTATGGATGATATGTCAAATCATTATCATATGCCTTTAGTAGCCCTAATCATTCTTCCCATCATAGAGTTACTTACTTTTACGGTTCCTTTCATTTTCGCTTCCAAAAAGTAACAGTATTCATTTTCACTTTTTTCGACTGGTTCAGTCAAAAATACTGAAGGACGATGTGACGGCGCAAAGCGCCCACTACGGGTATTTTTTTCTTGTTAGCACGTTAATTATTTCTCATTGAGGATGACTGCATCCATATTTATATTCTCGTTAGTTAGTTCCTCCTAATGGGACTTCTCATTGTCATAACGCCTGCGTAATTACGGCCCCTCATGGGGCCGGCTAGATCAGGCATGATTACAGCCGTATCAACTATAAATAACTAACTAACCAACCCCTTACTTTTACACGTCATTGCACCACACAAATACAGGACAGCTAGTGTTTTCGTGGTATTATTGTTAGAATTTCCACTTTCCAACCGATATAAACTGCTTATCATAAAATTGTACTACATGCGAAAGATAAAGCTGCTAACACAACAGTATATGGACATTTCTGTAAAAAATCTGCAAAAATTCGATAATTTTTCCGTTCGCTTAGTTTTCGCCTATTCACCTTCAGATCTGGAGAAATAGTACCGAAAAGATGCAGAAGCTCTGGTAGCTACTTCCGGATTTTTACTATGATCGTTGGTCAGAATCTCCAAACTTCCATCCTGCGCTCAGGATACAGATTCCCCATCTCATTGAATGTCAACCAAAATTCTGAAATAGGTTTTCGTTTCGATCATAGCATTTGTCGCTGTAATATTGATTATCGTACAGCCTAATCTTAATTAATTTTAGTGACGTCAGGATGTCGGCTTTTGAACGAGCTCCTTTATGACAGTCTGCAAACAGTATATTCTGTAAAAATGGGTACATAAGTAGTATGCATCTTTTTCATCGTTTTCACTGCTCTAGAAAATATAAACAAAAATATTCTTTCTCGTACTGGTTTGGTAGAAAATTAGGCTTTCTTCAAATTTTATACTTTAAGGAAGGCTTTTTAAGTGTTAAATGCGTTTATAAATTCCCGAATAATTTAAAATCCTATCGGTCGTTACACTTAAATTAAAATTCTCCAAACTAAATGCTGTATACATTCTATGTAAGGAAAAGTAAGGAAGAAATCATAAAGTTCTTCTAACATTTCACATTGTAGGTGGACCAAGTCGTATCATTGATGAGCAGCATTACTAAATGCATAAATGCGTTGCTTTGTGAATGCCTATTTCACGGCCGTAAAACTCACATAATTAGAAACATTTTTGAAATCCAACGATACCCTTTATTTGAGTATAAATTTTGAAGAAGGCGTAATTTTCTTCTAGCAGAGTGCAAGGATATTTTTATTCATATTTTCTCTGAAATATATTTTAATTTATAAGACAGTAAAAAATAGGAAAAATGCACACTACTTATGTAGTATTTTTTTGCAAAGCTCTTTCAAAAGCTGCCATCCTGAGTGAATTAAATATGTTGAAATTAGGCTGTACGTTAATCATAGTTGGAAGCATAATTGATATGTTCGAATCGAAAACATATTTCATAATTTCGGTTGACATTAAATGAGAGGCAATTTACTGTAAGCCTGTAAGGACCCTTTTGCGATTTCCAATATATACTGTTAAGAATCTTAGAAAGGGCCCCGCAAAACGCTCACCAACGATTAGAAAATGTTTGGTGTATAAGAGCGATTAGCAGCGGCGCGAAACCCCTAGCTTTCCAATGGGCAGACTCCCTGAAGTAATGAGTTTGATTAAATTCAGTTGAAAAAATCGCGTTGTGTGACCCCAGTCTGTCCATTTATGTAGCCAACACCATATGCTTGCAGCCTGCACTTTGAGTCCTATTCATGCAAAAGGACTATCCGTTGCACATACAATGAGCCCATAGACAAGAAAAATATTTTAATGTCTACGACGGTTCTCATTCAAAAAGAAAATCTCCATGGTCCTGGATCTTTCCACTTGCTCCTACGTAGATTACTTTCTTCTTACTGATCTTTCACAACTGTCTTAGACATTGAACGTATGTGTTTGCTCAATAAGAGCTCTTAAAGGCATATAGAAAAAGTCCAGTTTTCTCGCCGAAGTCTGTTTTGGTACATGTCGTACATTGTAAAATTTGTGCATCACTTATGTCCTCCATAAAATAACCGGAAAGGTACTTAACTCATAATGGCTTACAAGATCCGCTGCGAATTTCGATAACCTCATAATTTCACCTGTGTAGGCCAGGATGCTCTCCTTGACTTTGGAATTAGGGGACCACTATCGATGGATTTTCGGACAGCAGTACATTCTGCGTAAGAGTTTATACCATGATAAAACAAACTTACCTCCAATTAATATGAGCAAATGAGTTGATGCTGTCCTCTGGTTTTCTGTAAATGTTTGTTCTAACTTCCTTTTCTTCAGTTGGGATAGAGCAAATAGGCTGAAAAAGTTAAGCAGTCCGTCTACCAGCGCCACGCACGCATAATCCGCTCACAGTGAACTTGCTCTTCACAGAGTTAGGAGAGAGAGGGAGAGAGAGAGACGAGTTGTATCCCAACTGAGTGGGGTCGCCTCAGAGGGCACATTAAGAAAGGGCCATTTCAGCCTAATTATCCGCCCCGAGAGAACCAATTTATCTCCCGCAACAGCTACGCGGACCGTACGACTTTAATGTGCATTGTAGCTTGCACTACCAAGGCAAACCCTGCGATGACGAGCCAAACAGGACCTAATAATGCTTTCCCTCATTTCACGATCACTTTTTTCACTTCCTAATGATACTCCTTTAAATGTGCCAACAAAACTAGTGAAATATATGAATGCCAGGTTCACAAAAATCCACAGGCAATCACAACCCGCTTTGAGATTAGCTCGACAATTACGACTATGCGGAACTCGAGTCCAATTGCATTGCCGTTAGGGTAGGTATCAACATCGGTCGCGTCCCCAGGCTTGATTCATTTTAACCTGTAGCAGCACCAAATCTGTGAAATCAGTTTATTTTAATTTCAGTTGGGATCAATTGCGAAGGCCTGTATAGAAAACGGAAGACCGCTTACCATATGTCAGTAGCCTACGGGTTCTCTACCCTACAGGCTAGCGCCCTCTCAGAACTTCAACAAACGTGTCTTCCGGAGACTTTGGACGATGCGCTCTCTTCTTGGACCCTCGATCTGTTTTCTTTCGATCACCGACTCTCCCTCTCCGATACTGAGGTAATTAATTCAGCGCAGAAGCCTGTACAAATTTGTTGCTGGCAGATATTAGGATTGCGGCAATGTCCATTTTTGTCTTATAAACGGTCCTCGGCAAGTGATACCCCCAAATTCAGGCAGTGATACGTCCGAAGTTTCAATCCGACTTCAGTGGACCATTGCGAATTTAAAGTTCAACGTTCTCTTCACTTGGCCTAACGGACTTGCCTTCCGGCTGTGGACTCTGAGTTCCAAGACAAAATGAAATTATTCCTTCCCGTCCTGCAATCATAGTGCATCCATGAATACCACTCTCATGTGCCTTTTTGTTACGTCTCTCTCATTGAATTCACTTCTTATTTGAGGTGCATGCCAGTTAACTTATGCTGCTGTACTCTTAAGGAATAGTGGCTACCATTAATATGTTGTCTGCTGTAGTTTTACCTCATGGGTATTCAAGAAAATTAGGTTGTTTTCCTACTGTGATATTTATCCGTTGTTATCTTTTGTTTCACATTGTAGCTCTACGAAATGCAAGTCACGATAGAAGTGAACGATGAACTTTTTATGAAGTTATCTAGGGAAAATAATGTAGTCTCATATTCAGACGTTCACACTTCTATCCTGCCCTTCCCCGAACAGACGCCTAGCACCGAGATTACTCCGGATTCCTCTGATTCCATGCTTGGCGTTGCCTCGTCAGAAGGTTGTGATAATACTGCCGTAAATAGGATCAGTACTCCCGCTGTGCCAAATGGATGTGTCTCTCTTACATTTCCAAATCGTTCCTCATCCTTGGAGAGCTACTCGTATACGGGAAACACTTTCAATCGCTTACATTCACAACCCATCCTCCCGCACCAAAAGCACGACTTAATCCTACTTACCGGAGCTGATGACTCCTCTGGCTGCGTTGGCTGTGCGGTTGGTCTCAATCTCTCATCCGGATTGACGGGCGTATTCAATTTGAGTTCGGGAAAGCGGGTTGGGAAGTCCTGTGCCTGGGTTTCTCATAGGCAAGTAAATTAAACCCTTTCAACGAAATTCCAAAGAGTTTTTTCTCCTAACTGTTGCGTTTTTCTTTTCTTTGACGTGAACACTTTTAATTGGGCATTCGCTGTTTCGCTTTAGTGCAGTTTGGTGGGAAATTATACGTTTCCACTTCGCTTATGCAGCATTTGTACTCGTGAGTTCTGAAACTGTCCAAAGTCCTGCATTCTAATTACACGTTTGGAGCTAGACTGGCGGTGCTTAGCAACACTTCCAATTTGATTGGCTCCACCACCAACTTTGCTGCTTTCCTTTCCAAACGGCCACCTCCTTGTCAGAACGTTTTTAATCTGGTGCTGTGGCTGCCAGAAACAAGAGGAGCGGAGATGACCGTTGTTAGTTCACTCATTTTAATCATGTATCAGGGCTTTGTGGTTTGTACCCCGACCCATTTATTCACTGAGCCAGATGCCAAGACATGTCGGCCACCAGTTGACGTTATTTTTGTAGAAATTTTTTGATAGTTATTAACTAAATTGATTTTAGCAGACGGTATCACCCATTAGTCATCTCGCAAAAAATCTTTTTACTCTTTGCTTCCGTAACTCCAAAATGTACAAGTTCAATTGCTGGTTTCCTGCATGGGTTCTGTCCATCAGGTGGAGTTATCTGCTACTTTCACTTAGCGTCTTGCCCTTAACCTTTGAGGTCGCCTGGTTCATAGGTGACGGGGATGCCAGTCAGCACGATCTATGCACAAGTCATTGCGACACTTGTTTTCTGCCTTGACGCACGCCTGACTACCTAGCCAACCCCCAACAGAGGGACTGGTGTTTCTATTTCTGTGCCCTCAACCTCTCCCGCCAGCTTGCGGGTTTTCACTTTGCGCGTACAGAAGCGTATTCCAACAGGGCTCCGCAGGTTTGCGCACAACCGGCAGTTTTCTTGCCGGCCGCGCAGCACTGCTTGGCAGCAGCAACAGCAGCAGCAACATGTACTTATAAATAACATCTGGAGTCTGTGCTGGGCGTTCGCTCGACTGTGCTGTGCGAGTTTATGTATGTGTTTGCTCAGTTTTACGGGAGGGTGCGGGGCGTTATGCGCTGTTAGTGAACTGCCGCATCAC